TATTACGCCTTCCTGTTTCTTTACAGAACTTTGTATTTCTTTAACAACACAATTTCTTTCGAGATTTTCACCCTTACAGAGTCTCGTCCCGAACAGAACATTTTTCTAATTTGAATTTGCTATTTGTTATTTGTTTCTTTGTTTAATGATAAAAAAATTACTTAATTTGGATGCTTCAGTTTGAGCATATAGTTGATTTAATTCATATTTGAGTCACTCAAAAGTTCAACTGGCGAAGACAAATAACTTAAAAACTTTATCAGTTATATCTTTTGTATTTGAAAGTTTGTCATGATACTTTGAAATGAATTCATAGAGACATAATGAAAGCAAAAAGGAGGATTAACTTTTTACTTCTGAGAATATATGTGGTTGATCTTACTTGTATATATTCAAAAATGCATGTATAACTGACATTTGTGTTTTGTTGCGCGCATAATGCATTAATCAGTGAAACATGCTATCATTACTATTACAAAAGATTAAATAATCCTTTTTTGCAAAATAAGTTATTGCAATGAATTTTATTATAATAGTAAGGCTTTTTGCGACATATAACCTTTCATAGTTTCTACTTCATTTATAAAGTAAGTGCTGCGCAAATTGCGTGAATACATATGATCTGCATGTGTTGCGCATACTTATTATAATCTACGAACAAGATTTTGTAAAACTTTATTGCGTATAATATTTTTTTATACTTTTGAATTGTTTTGATGATTTTTAAAATTTTCTCTGCATGAAGTTTTATTTTTTCTAGATGCACTATTATTGAGCAGTTTTTTTTCCTTATTTGATCGTTTAGAAGTAGTTTTCGCGTCCTCAGATTTTGTTACTGTTACGGATTTGGATTTATCTTCTGGATCTGTTTCTTCATCTTTTAAACTTTTGATTGGTTCTAAAGTATCGTCCTCATCAGAATGTGACTGAAACATACAAGGTGAATGTGTATCTAGGCAATAGTATCATCATCGCATTCCTATAATAACAAATGCCATGATTCAGACTTATACAGTAATAATGTGCAGAACAAGAATAATATATGTGATTTTGATATTTCTCTGCGTATCTAACTTCAGTCAGTTATGATAAATACTGTAATTGAATAAGGCGTTATAAATATCAAGATTGCTGCATACTGTTGACTGAAATAAAATGCGATAAGTGATATTTGATTACTGAAATAAACAATTAATATCACTCAAAGGTTAGAAAAATGAAGATTGTACCAATGTGGATTTATTTTAACAACGGCAGCCATACCATGAGTGAACATTATCCCACTCCAAAAACGATAATCTGTCTAGCTTGCCAGCATAGGCATTGCTCATTACCTGATAAAATCCTTCTTTAGTTTTTTTTACTCTGTCTTCTTCCAATGCTTCCTCTCGTTTTAACTTTGCTGATATTGTGGGCTCCTTAACACGTGGATATAAGGATTTTTTATTTGACTCAGGCATACGTTCACCATGCTCATCAAGGTTATTCGCATTTTGATGCTGTAATTGTGGCTATATATGCAGGAATGATAACAATACTGCACTACATTTAAAAAAAAAAGACATACCGTCTTTCGCACTAAAAAATCACAATACGAAGTAAGTATCATCATAATTGTGAACTAAATCAGTTATTGAATTTGATTCAGTCATCACGTAGACATGAATATTTACGATCTTGGTACAATTTTCTCACCACACATCTCATACTGTTTGAGTCCTGTTTAATGTGATATCTTGTTACATAGTGATAACGTCTACTCCAACTTTCTTTCCCATTCTGAAAAACAATCATATGAATTGATCAATCAATATAACAATAAACTGCAAAGAGACAAATATTTAATACTCAGTGAAAGATATTGTAGACAGTACAAAATGGTATCTGAAACTACGATATCATAAGATAATATGATTTGAAATTACAGAATCGAATGTTCGAAACTGACACCAGAAATTAAAAGATTAAATGAAATGACTACAAAATAATTTATAAAACAAAATCATATATCCTTTACCTTTCTACTTTTATTATTGGAATGAACTGACGACGACATATTTTTTTTCTCTCTCACTGTTTTATTAATTACCTTAAAAAATATGAGCAGATGTAATATTAGGGCACGAAATGGATTGAAGTTTGTTTCATTTTTTACTCTAATCATAATTCTTTATTTATTTTTCGACAACACATATGTAAACTCACTTTCTGATCAACAAAAGCAGCAACAACAATATTTGATTTATTTTTTGCTTTCCTTCTGTGGGCTTTTTTTTTCTTCGAGCATAATACTATGGAAGCAATTAGTATCAAAGACACTGCCATTGTTACTCGTGTTAACTGCAGGCACTTGTAATCACAAAAAGTTAGAGTTCATCGTAATTATATAAATGTCCTCCGGATTTCTTCCATTTTTTATCAATTTTTATTAATCCACACTTTTCAAAGTTTTATTCTTTTTGTTTTAGTTTGTAGTTCAAAATCAGAGTATATTGTTGCAATTATTAATGTATAATTTCAGTTAACGCATTTCAAATTGTAAGTACTCAACGAAAATGTGAACTGTTTGATTAAGATATACACTTAAAGTTAGCTCATTATGCGGCACTTGAAGCTAACATTGTAGATAATACTCACAGTACTTTATTGTTACATTATGACTCAAAAAACTTTTTTCAACTTTTCAATATTAAGTGAAAGCAATATATATATATGGTTACTTCATTAATTAACCCAAATATTCACTTCCTAACGAAATTTTCGATGGCATTATTTGAAAAAGTATTGTTCTAGGGAGAATTAAAATATGAAGATTTTATTGAACTCAAAATCTTACAGTCATTAATATAAGTTGTAAAACAACCTTTAAATAGTGAGTTGATAGTGATTGAAATAGATCGAATTGCTTCCCATTCATGACAACATCAATAAAATACGCACATTTGTAATTGTAAAATCGTGGTAACTTTCTTGTATTGCTATTACTGAAAACACATTCACAATTGTCTACAGTCACATCCTAAACTTCAAAAGAAATTGTTTTGTAATAGTCAATTTAAAAATACAACACTAGAAAGCAAATAGTGTAAAAATTGGGATGCATAATCAGAAAATGCAGAGCCGTCATCTTATTTTCGTATGTGTAACAAAGTAATCGCTAAAAAATCATTAAATAATTATAGCAAAGTTTTCATTGGCAACTATTTAGCGTAATAAATTCATAATGTACATGCAAGTATATACTTATATCACTTCTGATTCCATTCAGCTAAAAATTTTTTTGTTTTCTCACTTCTCAAGCCTCATTCATAAATCCTATGCAATTTCTGTTGCCTTCGGCTGTTAATAATAATATATCAGTTACTTGTACAAAAAATGTTATAAATCAAATATGATCAGTAATTTTGGAATTTTCTACGTAGCATTCTAATATTTCAAAAAAGCATTCTATGACTTACTGCACTCTTTTTGTTGTCTTTAACTCCACTGACGCCAATAACAGAAAGATTTTGATTACCTCCAGTATTTTTCTAAAAGCACAAAATGCAGTTTATTTTGTTTGTATTTTATGAATAAGTACTCCGAGAGCAAATATTGAACAAATGAGTTGTTATGTATTTACATCACAGATATTCAGCTTGTGAAAATGTGTCAATTGAATTGACTAAATTTTATAAAAACTGCAGTGCCACCCCTCCCCCTTTACACCACCTGCCCAAGTAATCAGAAAGTAAAATAATAATTACAGGTAATTGCTAGCCTTTATGTTCACTTCCTGAACTGAAAAAAATAACTTATTCATTTGAACAAAGATGTTTTATTTTCTGTGTTAGATGTCAAGCAACATACATATATCATTGTCAAGCAACATATGCCATTGATCGTTCTGTGCTAATTTGATTGAAATTCAGTACTTCTATTGCTTTCATTCCGTTACTTATCAAGCCAAGCCTCAATCTGTTCTAGAATTTTGTATGATTCCGACATCCAATCAATCAGAAAACAATGCTCTTATTCTCAAGAGACGTCGAATTCAAACTACTACATCATTATATGTGACAATGCAGATTCTTACAACTATGACAGATCTCACAAAGCTATAAAATAATCATATTATATCCGACAAAATGCATCCAAGTACCCTTTACTGCGCTTGTCTTCATCTTATACCTCATCTGCTTTGTATTCAATATACTTCAAGCAGATAGAACACGCCTTTCTCACACCAAACAAACCCATATACATGCTACTAGTTATGCCTGAAGATAATGTAAAGATCTGTCTGTCAATTTTCCCTGTCTCCAAACCTATCTCCCCAGTACAATACAAATAACTGCTTTACGGGAAATAACTGATAAAATACACTTATTTATGATATGTAATCAAAGCAGTAGATATCAGTCCCTCCCCACTACTAGAATCGATTGTAACACTATTTCTTGAGCAGTTGTAAAAAGTCATAAACAGTAATTTTTATTAATGCGAAGAAAGAACCGAAAAATAAACACATTTTCTTAAATATATACAATACAATCGGTTATATATACATATATATATATATCAAAAATAATAATACTTATAAACAAATTATACAGCAACAACTCAGGAAATACTAAAAATTTTTTTCTTCCTTTGGAGTTGTTGCGTGGTGGGGCGCATGAATTCATCGCATGGGTTCTTCCTTTCCACCCAGATCTATCAAAATGCTGATTGAAATCTTCAACCCCTTTCGTCGGTATGCTGCAGATTTATCGCAGCATGTAACCGACTACAAGGATTTGAAAGCTCTGAAAATCAATTACTTATTTCATACAACTCATTTGACTTAACTTAACATCATGTGCTTGGTCCTAAACACAACAAAGCATTTTTTGCATCAAATCACCTATACCAACAACTGAGAACAAAATAAACAGCACCTGAAGCTTTCATTCCCATCATGTCATCCAAAAAACCAAATCACTTCTTGATTTGCTGATCTCTTCGGAGAGTTCTAAATATTTTTTTATATCAATCTGAAGATATTTACTCTAATTACTTAATTTTATACTATAAAACTTTCTATACAGTAACATTAAGGAATAAAAATTAAATCAAATTAGCGAAATTTGATACCTGAATTAAAAATTTTAATATGCTGCAGGAAGCTCCAGCAACTACTAATTCCTGTCTTCGTCGCTTGGAGCAAAAGACCGCAAACATGATTTGCCGATCCACTTTCCTGCAACACTCGGGCTGAAGCAAACCCTTCAGCTTCAGCCACTCCTGAAACAAGAGGGAGTTATCGCTGATTAATTCGAAAACAAACAACATAATCTAATCGAAAAAAAAAACAAACAAACAGAAACAGAGCGATTCTAAATCTTCAATGAAACTCACAGTGGTTTCCTCGCCTCAGAAGAGGCAAAAACCACGCAAATCAATTTGGCAAATGCCACCAATCTTGAAGACGGAAAACCACGATTATTTCTGCAAATATCTCGTTTTATCAAACATCATAGACAACAGCATCTACGTAATGACAAGACAACGTAAATCATTTCAACACTTATATTTTGCTAACAATGTACACGTTTTTTGAATTCCCAAACATAATGAAAATGTGCATCGGCACACATAGCAATCAGATTCTACATAACATCCATGAATCAATGTTTTAATAAGTCATACTAAAATCAAAATCTATTTACTATTTTCACAATGTGTGCGAAGATCAAAAATTTAAGAAAAAATTAGCGACAGAACTAATTAGGACGCAAAAACTCACCAGACTCTTGGTTTCCGTCTCTTCAGTCACTTCGGACTTGTTATGGGTCTCTGAAACAAGCAAATTAGTACAAGGACTGAGACTAAACGCTTGAAACTTGTGAGGTTTCGACCTATCTTACGCATTGTAATGAAAATCTGACCTTCGAATTAGTAACAGAAACAAAAAACCACCAAGCTGTACAAGTAGAAACGCCTCCAATGAACAAACCTAAACCTATTATACTAACCAATGCTCAAAGTCAAACCAACCAATCTCATTCCAACGACGTATTGTGCAGGCTAAACAACTAGCCTATTACGCCTTCCTGTTTCTTTACAGAACTTTGTATTTCTTTAACAACGCAATTCCCTACTCAAACATATTTGACTCTTACAACGTTTTTTCGTGAGCAGTATATTTTTGATAGTGGCGTGTCGAGTAGGTAGGTTACGTTTTGATTGTTGTTCGTGATTTGTTCGTTAGTGGTTGTTTCGTTCCGTTGTTCTCGGTATGAAGTTGCGACATGGTTTTACAATAATGTGACATTTGGTGGTGATGGTTTGCATACTGTTTGTGCAAGTTATCAAGTTATTGAGAGTAAAGAAAGCTTTATACCACTTTTTGGTTACATTTATATTCATTTCATTTATATTTTCAGGCATTGTATCATCTGGTAGAAGGTGAAGTGGCAATGACTGAAGTTGACATACAAGTATGGTCCATATATAATATATATTTTTACATTGTTTAGTCGTGTTGAGAGATTACTTTTTTTTGGTGGCGCCTGTTTATGCATTGTCTTTTATTTGTCTTCATGTTAGAAATTTTTTACTGTCTGTGCACACTTCGGAAGTAACTATCAAGTAATCGTCGATCTTAATCATGTTACATCGTCTTTATATTTTCATTCACCAGGTTCTACGTGAAGATTGTGAAAATGTATCAAGGGATTCGGCAGTTACTATTGTGGATGAGGCGGATGATTATATGAGATACAAAAGACTGGAAAAGCAGCTTGAACATTTAGATGTGATGGAAGAATATGTAAAGTTGGAAACGCGGAATTTGGAAAAAGAGTTACTTCATGCTCAAGAAGAGGTATATTCGATAATTCAAGCAGTAATGCAGATGTATGATGGTTGAGCTTAACCTTTTAGTCATCCATGTTAGGAGTAAAGCTTGATTATGGAGTTAAGAATGAATTATGGCAGCTCTGATGCTTTCAGGACTTGTGTAGTATGATTTCAGGTCAAGCGAATACAGTCTGTACCTTTAGTTATTGGACAGTTTTTGGAAGCCGTGGATCATGACCATGCAATTGTTGGGTCAACAACGGGTATCATATTTTGAATTATGCATTGCATAACTTTTCATGCTTATTTTAGTCGTTTTTAAAAAATTAAAAGTGCTGTAGTGATAGGTCTGAGATTGTGAAGAAATGATTTCTGGCATCTCCATGAATGAAGCATGTTTAAATTCATTATACGGTAACGTAACTTCATATATCAGGATCGAACTATTTTGTTCGTGTGTTGTCCATCTTGGATCGGGAATTATTAAAGCCAGGCTGTAGTGTAGCGTTGCATAAATATAGTAATGCTCTTGTTGATGTATTACCGCCGGAAGCAGATTCCACCATACAAATGTTGCGTGCAGATGAAAAACCTGATGTTCGTTTAAAATCATGCTTCTTTTTGACCTTTTTTTATTTGTACGTTTTTGGTAGAAATTTGGATGTTAGTTGTTCGTTATGAGTTTCGGGACGAGGTAGGACTTCATAGGTTTTTTGTCGAAGTTCTAGTTATATATGCAGCATAAGATAAATGCAGAAATGAATTTAAGATATCAACATACTAGTGATAATATTTTAATTTATTGTTACTAGGTTTACAACTATCTTTCCTGTTTTGAACTTTACAGGCTAGATACGAAGAGTATGATTTTATTAAGTACCACTTTTTTGTCAATTTAAGGTGTCTTATTCTGATATTGGAGGTCTTGATATGCAGAAACAAGAGGTTCGTGAAGCAGTTGAGCTTCCTCTTACTCATGGAGAACTCTACCATCAGGTTTTTCTTCACTTTCAATAAAAAAGATGTTTGGTGACAAAGTAGATTTGTGAGAACTTATCGCATATTTTGTGCTTTATTTTTCTTTCACTCAGTGAATAGTTGCCATTGGCAGTTTGTTTCTCCAATTTTACTTCTGAATATTGATCACATGATGACATTAATTCATGTTTTTTTCTTTCAATTTTTAGATAGGTATTGATCCTCCGCGGGGTGTACTTATGTATGGCCCACCAGGATGTGGAAAGACTATGCTTGCAAAGGCAGTCGCTGCGCATACAACAGCTTCTTTCATTCGTGTTGTTGGGAGTGAATTTGTTCAAAAGTATCTCGGAGAAGGTGTAAATGGCCTTATTTGTTTGTGTTTTATCAGTGTATTTACTGTATGTCTAGCAGTTACTTTGTTTCACTCTATTTACTAAAGTTATTGCGCATTTCAGGACCGCGTATGGTGCGTGATGTTTTTCGTTTGGCTAAAGAAAATAGTCCATCGATCATATTCATTGATGAAATTGATGCGATTGCTACGAAACGATTTGATGCACAAACTGGTGCAGATCGTGAAGTGCAGCGAATTTTGCTAGAACTACTTAATCAAATGGATGGTTTTGATCAAAGTACAAATGTGAAGGTAGAGTTCTATTTTTATCATTTTTTTATTCTTTTTTTGCTTTTGATCCAGTCGTTTTTTTAGTGAAATACAGGAGATTTTTTAAATATCTGGTGCATAGTGTAATTCGCATGCAGCAAGTGAACAAAGGTCGCCATACATAATCATTCTCAGACATGTTTGATTACTTTTTGATAGCTGTAGCTCAAGCTACAAAGTAATGAAACAGTCATTAATTTCTGTTAAAACTGTTGTTGTAACTTAATAATTTGGTAACACTATTTTATTCATCTATAAACTTGCAGATTTCATATAAAAAAGTTGCTAATATGGTTTCTAGATTTCTAAAATCTTAATCATTGTTTTAGGTAATAATGGCAACGAATCGTCATGACACTTTAGATCCTGCTCTTCTCCGTCCTGGTCGTTTAGATCGTAAGATTGAATTCCCAATGCCGGATCGCCGACAAAAACGTCTCATTTTTTCTACGGTTACTGCAAAGATGAATCTTTCAGAGGAAGTAGATATGGAGGATTTTGTGGCTAGACCAGATAAAGTATCTGGCGCAGATATTAATGCGATCTGTCAGGAGGTTAGGTCTCTCTGTATCATATAGAATTCTTGATATTCCAGAAATGTGTCAAATCGTTTTTGATTATATGGAATGTTACAGGCTGGAATGTATGCTGTTCGTGAAAATCGTTATGTTGTCTTATCGAAAGATTTTGATAAGGCGTACAAATCGGTGATAAAGAAGGATCAAAATGATTTCGAGTTCTACAAATAAACATGTTATGTCTTTCTATCTTAAAATTTGGAAGATGTAGATATGTGCCGATGTATTATTCTGAAATCTGCAAATCATGAGTGTGCAAGAATGAAATATAAGCGAGTAATGAGTAAGCAGTATTTCGTCCGATTATATTTAACGAATCGTGAAAAAATCTCTGAAATTGTATGTAGTTTATGACATCCAAAATAAATATTTTAGCCAGTAATATTTTTGGGAGGATTTCACTCTTGCAAGTGTATTGTATGGCGAATTTGCTACTTTTCAAAATAGTTGGCGTTGTAATTTCGCACCTTAGTCTGATATTGTTGAAAGATGTATTTGTTATGTATAAATGTTTTTTTAATGATTTTTGAAGATTGTTTGTCTTTGTGAAGCGATCATGCGCGTTTTACTGAAATCTATTGTACTCTGAAGTTATTTATAAGGTATTGCTTTGGTCACAATAGTAAGTTTAGTAGGTTAGTACTTGTCTTTTGAGCTCTTCCAGCGTGTTATTGCATGTATTGTTTGACAAAAACAAATGGAGGGTTTGTAATTTAGAATGTATTGTAGAGGTAGTTTAGTGTTATAGTTGTGCTAGTTTTATACGCAATTGAGTCTCATTGGAATAGTGTTTAGCTCTGGAGCAGGTGAGGTTAGATTCCTATGCATAACCTATTTTTTGTTTTCAGTCGTTCAGTAGGCTTTGGTTGTCAGCCACGGGTCTAAAAAGTTAGAGCGATCAACAGTTCGAAACTCATGCTCCATTGCTTAAGGTAATTATTTACTTGAGTAGTATGCTCTTTTTTTGATTACTGCAATTGAAATTCTAGTCGCATAACTTCATTTTCATTATATAAAAAAGGTCTTTTCAGCTTTTATTTCATTTTGCATATTTCTGTGGGTGTTGCGATACTGTTTGGATTTAAAAAATTTTTCAGAGTTGAAGGTAAATATATTACACAGCTCGTGATTAATTGAGGCAATGACAGATACCCATAAAGGGGTTGTCAATAAGGAAGATGTTGCAGATAACTGGGAAGAAGCTGGTGAGGAGGTAAATATTGCATCATTTATCACACAATAGGATTCTAATGTATGTTATTAGCTTTCATTTTTAATGCTTCCTTAATGATATTGAGATCCATTAAATTTTTTCATATAGCTAGCATTTTGTGTTCTGTTTTCATCAAAACGTGGCGAGCAAGATTTCTATGAAGGATCTTGCCATTAAATTTTTAGTCACTGATTAATTACTGAGGTTCGGTGTTGGATAGAGAATTATTTTCTCCCTATATTGGGTTGGAAGTTATGGTTTTTAAGGAAGCTTAACTTAGCTGAAGCAAAATGTTATAAATAGAACATCAGTAATATACAATAGATTTGAACTGGACTAACTAGGAAATAGGAAAAAATAACATGAAAATGTATTTGAGATCATGTTAATAAGTACTAAGTATAACGAGCCTTCTAGTCATATTTTGTTCCTATTTATATATTACGATATTTTTTTTTGTAACCACGTCCAGCGTATGTTATCCACATAAGAATTTGAGGTAACTTGTTCTGCTCTTAAAGTATTATAACTAGCATATTAGTATTCAGAAAATCAATGGAACTACATAGTTTACTTAAATTAGTGTTATCTGTATGATTAGTTCTGAAGTAGCAATTTAGCAAAACGCATATATCTTTGGTAGTAAGAAAGGATGTGTCATTTTTGCTTTCAAGAAGTTTTATTAGGAATCTTTTACTATTTTTTGTGTGGGTTTTTGTCATATATTAGTTATTTCGCTTTTAATATTTGTGTTAGGAAATCTCTCAATATATAAAAGACTTTCGTGCGTTTTGCCTTCAATGTCATTCGCAGGAATGTGGCATTTTTGTATCTTTAAGTTAATTAAATCTCGAAAATATGACTCAAGTTGAGCATATCACTTTCGAAACTAGATGATTACAGCAAATAGAATCAATTTTAATTCATCTATTGACTGTCACCAAAGGCGCTCCAAATTACTAGATATTGAATTCGGGATGATAGTTTAAACATAAATTATGTGGAGGAAATAAAGAGGAAATATGTTCATGCGAAATAATTTGCATCTTATGGAGTATATGTAAGTGAATGTTTGGTATTAGTTATCCTAGTATAATGTTCCATACATCATATTTGTAATTTACAAATATTTAAGAGTTCATTGTAGTATCGTAGTGAAACGTAAATGAGATATTTAGCAGAAACATCGATGATGTTTCTGTTTTTTTGTTGGTGGGATTGATGCCTATATGTTGGAATTCATGAAAGAAAGCTTTTATAACGCGTAGGTTGCACAGAAATTTTTCGATGAACGTAGGAAAGAAGTGGAAGCAAAGAAACAGGAAGAGGAGGAGATGTCGAAAGCTAGAGAAGCTGCACAACTATTACAAGAACAGGGTGCAAGGTAAAAGTTTTCATTGCATATTACTTTGGTTAGTTTCTGTTAGATGGATTAGCTTTCATCGGCTCATTTGTTTTTTCAACAGTTATCTTTGTAATGAATAGTCTATCCTGTTAAAGTGATTTTCTGAATCATCATAACTATAGTTGTGACAAACCAGCCATTCAAATTTTGAAGCGGCCGTCAGCTGAAGCTCAGTCTCAGCGGCATGTCACTAAGCATGGAGAAAAAGCAAAACCAATGACTCTTCAGGTCTGCCTTTATTTTAAAATATTTGTGAAAGAAAACGAAAACATCACCCTTAATCTTCAACAAATTTCAAGCGCAAATTATTTTTCGAGCATTCTCTTTATCATAAAAGCAGAAAATGGAGTAAGACTTCGTTGCGTGTAGTATTTATACAGCTTAATCGTAGTTTGATGTTTTTCAGGAGAAAGAAGCTGCGTATTTGCAAGCGCGAGAAAGAATTTTTGGTGGGGTGTATAGATTCGAAGATGATCGAGACACGGCACTTGATCCAACGTTACAGATTGTCCCTGGTACTGCCTTTTGTGTACCAACTGGTATTCCACTCTCTCACATATCTCTTCATTCACCGAATCCTCGACCTAGACTACCAGCCATCATGAAGCCTACTAGACCCACCCTATATCAGCCAACATTTCCATTAGGTATACTGTTCTATTTTACTTCTTGTATGATTCCAAAGTTTATGTAGTATTGAATTTCTTATTAACTTATATATACTTTTTCTTACTAACTTATATTTACATATGAAATCTTGATTTTCGATTGCTTTGTTTTAAAGAGACTCATTCTGAAATATATTTACATTTATTTATAGGACCACCATTTGGTGTACCGCCACCATTACCTGGTGCCTATACACCACCAATACCTCCTATTTCGCAGCAAAATTTTCCATTATCCGGAATGCAGTTTTCTCCGAATATCCAGCCCCAACGCTTTCCGTATTTTGATTCTAGAATTCCACCTCCACTACATCCACCTTTAATAGGTCAACAGAATTCTAGTCAGAATGTGCTGGGAATCAATCCAACCGCTGATGTTGCAAGAAATCCTGTACCTTACGGGTAAGCGTGGTTGTTTCATGTAAAATGCTGCAGAAACCGGAGCTGTCATTACATTTTATAAATTTTAATTAGTTAGTTCATAGAGAGAAAGTTTCAAATTTTACCTCATAATTTATACATTTGCGTTTAAAATGAAAAGTGCTGATTTTGTTGAGAACTTGTACGAAAAACGAGGCTGATGACATTTAACTTTTTCAATTTTTTTCATTAAATTATCTCATGAAAATTAGTTTTCAACTCTGCAAACAACGCTGATAAAATTTTATTTCTTTACATCATTTCATGTGCTGTTGCTTCTTGTTTTATAGCTTCTGTTAATGGAATGAAAGATGTCAGTGAACTGAAAAAACATTCGATTGAGAATCCTTTTTATAAAATCACTATGTATATATATCTTAAATCTAATTGCAGCCGTCCTCCTGCCCAGCTATTTCCAGAAAATCGATTTACACTTGCATTCAACGACCAGCCGAATAAATTTCTTTGATTGTTTTTGGAAAATTTGTCTTATTTTTGTAACCTTTATGGTTTTTTCTCTTCTTTTTCCAACCATCAAAAGGAATTTTTTGATTGTATGGTGTTATAGATGATGCATTGCGAGCCTTATCATTGTATAACTGTGCTGAAGTGTTTACTTTTACTTAATGATCTCCAGCAACCTCTCATCACTTCTGGAAGCATTATTCAGGTGGAGAAAAAATCTTTAACAAATTTGGTGCAGCAGATCATGAGTTGGACCAGGTTTTTTTGTGCCTCTTCCCGACCTTATTATTCATCTTCTGTGCATGAGACTGCTTTCATAAACTGTAATACATAATCATTATCGTTGTGTTGCTACTCAGGGCAATGTAATTAACGAATTGTTGTAAGTTGAGGAAATTCGTTACCGAAAGCAACATTGGTGTATTATATTTCTATCATCATTTGGTTATGGTGCGGTACCTCTTCTTTCAGTCTAGCATTTGAACGTGTTTGGAATCAGTCGGACTTGTTTCTTTGTCTATTCATCAGTACTTCGCTCTTCATAACTTTGTCTCGGAAGATGAAATAGCAGTGAACATGGTGGCTTGTGTAGACATTTCTTAGTCAAATCTCGTGTTTAATTTGTGTTGTGGAGTAACGTTTTTTCAAACAATAAGTCAAAAGTCATCATGTTCTTCATAAGGTTTGGCGCGCCTAACATTATCAAGCACTGAGATTTAGAATTTTAGATTTTAGTGCTTGGTATCAGCCATGTCGTGTTGTATTAGGTGCTTTGTATTATGATTACTTCTTGGTCTCTGTCACTTGATATTATTATTACCGTTGTTTGCACCATGATCATGATCATTAGTTTTTGGTAGTTTGGTTCTGTATTTTGGATGTTCCTAGATGAGAAGGTTACCCAGAAATAGTATGGAGTTCTACTGTTTGTGCTGCTTATTTTGAGTAGATGGTAATTTTTCGCTGTTAAATTTGAGGGTCAGTTTGATTACATGAACATTGGCGGAATGATATTGTTGAAAAATGTTCAGAACATTTGGAATAGTAATGTAACTGGTTCATATAAAGTGACAAGGACTTCATCCTATTCCTGTTGAAACCATTTTTGTGTAAGACTTCTCGTATGCAGTGGCCATATCATTTACGTGAATTCAAAATTAATCATCTCGACGCTTTTCAGCTGTTTGCAGTTGTATATGATAGATAAGGGAAGGGATTGGAGTGTAAAAATGCTTGAGTTCTAATGTGATGTTGCAGAACGTCATGGATTTGAGGTTTTGTTTATCATTTCAACCTGTTAAGAAAGTGACGCCATTGGTGCGTTACGTACAATTTATTTTTTGAAATGTTTGATAAAATAAGACGTTGTAGGTATCAGTGCTTTTGATTTTCTGAATATGTTTCAAAGAGGTTGTCTGAGCACTTTCCACACTTGATTTTTTTGGTAATGTAATCAAAGTTTTAACTGAGGAATTTCAAATCTCCCTACTCTGTTATTTTAAATTAGGATTTGTCATGTTTGATTATGTGAAGTTCGTACAAAGGCGGGAAATGCGATCAACAGATAGTGGTATCGCTCGTATGTTTTGGAGTCCGGAATTCAAATTCATTATTAGTAGAGAAGCTTATGTCTAATTTGTTGGTTGAAAAAAATTATATCTTGACAACACTGAGGAAGTTAAGTACTAACAGATAATACAGATGATTATTGTAAGTATAACTAAATCTACAGATGTTATGTGAGATGCACGGTGTATGTTCTCACCTATCAAGTTTCTCATGTACGTTTTTAGAGTAAAAGAGTACGCTTAATTCTCCTAATCCATATCGTATTCGAGAAAAAATTCTGTCTGTTCTGAACTGCTGTTTTCATGTAGCTTTATAGGAAACCAGTACTGGTATTCATACTTAGTATGGGGTGACTGTATCAGTATATCTTAATCTATGAACCAACAAATTGAAACACGGATTGTTTGTGCTCAATGATAGTGACGGATGGTCGAGGTTATATGTTAACTTTATTTCATAACATTGAGCTATCAGATAATGGATAAGCAAATGATCCAAGTAGAGTACTTCATCTCCATGTAGTTCTTGTGATTTGCATCTGGTAATTAGATTTGTCAAGGTAGTAGTGAAAATGCTTGGGAAGTGCGTATTTTTTCATAATTCAGAGCAGAAATGTTATTGAAATTCAAAAATTTTGGCATGAACCAGATAAAACCTTATCAAGCATTTTACTGTTGAACAAATTAAGCTTTGCTGAGGGTTGCAGATGTATTGCGACATCTTGGAATGTCAGTTCGACATGTTTATAACAATCTTATAAAATTCCTCTATGTATTTGAAGATAAAAATGCATTTATTTATTCTATTATTTCACATAGAATCAAGTAGAGTGGAAAAAAGTGAAACAGAGTAATTGTCATAGATAACATGAGAGTTGGCCAATCATTATGTGATTATAAATGCCTGTTTTTTGTTTAGTATTTACCAGTACAAACAAATATTTCGACATAAATGACATGCTTCTCAGTAAAACAGGTACTAAAAATTATGATGGAGAACTCGTTGTTAAAAGTAGCTGCAATTTCGAGTAATTTCAAGTGTCGAATTGGACATGATCTGTTAAAACGCTCACAGAACTGAAATTTTTTCTTGACTTTTTATCTAGCATCATATTTTGTAATGTCTAGAAAGATCTTTGTAAACTGATGGTGATCGGTGCACTAAGTGAGGGTACTATGTCATATACATCGCTTTGAGATGCAGTCCGGACAGTATAGTGCAATATTTTGTAATTGGTACTAGTTTCGAAACATTCCTTCCCTATAGTAGATGATAAATAATTTTTGCGAGTACTAAATGATCGCATCTATTTGTAACTCAATCCATATTCCGCTTCTCTTAAATTGGAACGGCATTATAACTGTATCTTTATTGTTGTAATAAGTATCTGTGCGATGCATTCAATGTTGTTAGGAAGATTTTTCTTTGCGAAACAGTAATTCATGTGTGTGATCGATAAACAGGCTCACTAAGTTGTCATGAAACACCAATATTAACTTTTCTTCATCTGCTGACCGTGCATGGTATAAATGGAATCCGTATCTATCGCCCACTGAAGTAATGTGCAAGTTTATTATTCCAAACAAGTCAAAAGCAAATCATTTATTTGTGTTTGTCACCCGAGCTATTAAATTGTACACTGACTTCAACCATAGTAAATCCAACCGTAGTGACTACAGATTACTAGCATGGCTGGCAACGGTACTATCAAACCAACAGTTTGTCATGATGTGATGAAAATTTTGAAATTGCTGTGTCTGCCTGACTTTGCACTCGAATGCGTGTGCAGCAATCATACATGTTGAGCAATCATTAGACTTATACTTATTAGACGATAATACCACCAAAAATTAGCGAAGACAAACCAGAAAACGAGTGCAGAGTGCTCTTTTACACCCTTCACGGAGCTTTATCTAACTGTATCTGTTTTCCCACCGTTGCCATTTATGATTCCAGATGCGGATTTTTTCCTTTTATCTTCTATTTTATGTTGAATACAGCCGCTCGGAGTCAACCAGTTGGTTCTGCGCGGCTGTGTACACTGGCAAGAAAAAATCCGCATCTGGAATCACAAATGAGAAAAGCTATGTAATGGATGTAAAAGGACATACTGCCAGTGTACCGGAACCTGGTGCCAGCAGAATGTTCACGCTTGAAGCAATCGTCCGTGGAATTGAAACCCCAAGAACAAAGTGGCCAGGAGAGGTGCTGAAAACGGTTCTTGATCGATTTGGAAGAATGCAGAAAGGGGGATGGCCATTGTGTCGTTCTTTGTATAGCGGGGATGGCTATTGTGTTGTTCTTTGTATACCCT